ATACGCCTTTCGGATCCGATATAATCTTATCTACTATATAGTGCTATACTTTTATACTTTTTTTATATATAGCCCTTTTTTTTCTATTATACTATACTCTGTATAAAATCTAGTTCTTTACTATTTTTAATAAGTACTAGGTTCTATAGGCCCGCCTTATCTCCCGCACTTCCTTAGTATACTCTATTAACCACGCAGGTAATACTTATTTTAACGGCTTTATAAGTAGTATAGTTTTATTTATTATAGCTTATATATACTTATATAGGCGGTATATAAATATATTAAGATTTTCCTCTATCTTCTATAAATTATTCCAAGTTTCTAGCTTATCTAGCCGTATTACTAGGTTCTTTTATACTTTTTTCTATACTATATCCTTTTATAGCCTACGCTGTAGGGGTTTAGCTGCCTTTAGTAGTAAAATATTAAACTCCGTATATATAGGCCGGTGATTAGAGTTGCAGTTCTATTCCTCTTATACTATAGAGGAAATTATTTATTTTATTAGCTACCCTATTATAAATATAAGGTTAATTATAGACTATAATATTTCTTTTACCTATATTTCTAGCCCTTCCTCTGTAGCTAGGTTTATGCCTGCTTCGCGAGTAATATAGAGGAGCTCCTCTGCTTACTCCTTAATTTATATAACTTAAACTCCTTCCTATAGCAGATAGTATAGGTTTATATTTCTAATAAGAATATATTCCGCTTTAGTATTATTTAGCAGTAGGAGTAGTTCCTATATAATACTGTTAGGGTTCGGGTTATAAATATTATAAATATAAATCCTCTCTTCTTCTGCGTAAAGGGAGAGGGTGTTAAGATCTAGTAAGTAGTATATAACCGACTACTTATTAATATTTAGTTGTTTATTAACGTATATATAGGCTTTTATATATTCCTTTCCTATATATAGTAGATAGTATAACCTTATTATATACGTTATATATACTATATACCCCTGCCCCTGCCTATATAGGTTTTTCTATAGTTTTTATATAGCTAGTACTATAGGTTATAAGCTAGCGTTTTCTGCCTTTTTAAGGAACTTCTTCTAAGTTATTAAGTTTTTATAGACGTTATACTATATAATAGTAAGGTTATTTAGTTGTTCTAATATTAGCTTATTTTAGTGTCCTCTTATTATTTCTTAGCTTACCCGTTATCTACCTAGGTCCTTTGCTTAGCGTAGATCTATTAGTTGGCTAGGTTGTTTTATAATAATAGTATTTAAACCTCTCTGCTTAATATTAGCTAATCGCCTCTGCCGTACGTGGTTTATATAGCTAGCTGTAATAATACTTCCGGCAGCGTAGCTAATCGGTTAGGTCGCGTAAATTAGGCGGGCTGCGTTCTACTTCCGATTCTAAATACCTTATTAATAGCGGGCTAGTTCTTATCCGCTGTAAGTATGCGTTATATATACTATATACCTCTGCCCCTGCCTATATAGGTTCCTCTATAGTTTTTATATAGCTAGTACTATAGGTTATAGGCTGGCGTTCTCCGCTAAAGGCTACCTTTATAGGGTTTTTAATTTCCACTACTATAATTTATAAAAGCCTAAACCGCCCGCCTATTTTATAAAACTAAAGAACTAGACTCTACTTACTTAAATAGACTACCGGAATATTACTATATTATTATACTAGCTATCTATTATATAAGTTTATATAGTAGGTTGCTTTTTATATTTAAGGCTTTATAAAAGCTTAGTTTTTAAAAAAAAGGGGGTATATATTATACTGTTCCTTTAGGTTCTTTTAGCAGTTATTAAGGTTATAGGATATTATATACACGGATATTACGTAATCCCGGGCTAAAGGTTTTTCCGGCGCTTTACACGCTCTACTATATATATAGCTTATAGCCGGAGCCTTTTTCCTTTCTACGCAACTTTATTAATAGCAATATAATTTTTTCCTTAGCTATACTTCTAATAAAAGCTTATATCGCTATCTATAACGCCGTTAGCGCTGTAATTAACCCTAATACTCTGTTTTTCTATTATAATAAAGGGCCCTATATATAAGTTATAGGTGTATTTTAAGTATAAAAGCGCATTTAATATAAAGTTTCTTTAGTTATAGCGTACTATACGTAAACGCGATACGTAAGAGCTTATATATTTTCTAGCTTAGATAATAAAGTAGAGTAAAGGAAGATTTAAGAATTATATTATAAAGAAGTTAAATAAAGTTCTAAAGTATAAAATGTTTAGGTAGCTGTTAATATAAGCAGGAATAGTATCTAGTAATATATAATATTTATTATTATTTCGTTTTAGTTTTCTATCTTTTTATATTTCCCGTTTTCTATAGTTTATAATAGCTAGAAAACCGACCCGTTTATATTAAGGCTATATATCCTAGTATCTAGTTTAGTTAAACTTACTTATTTTTACCTTATTAGCTAAGTATAAGAATTTAGCCCTTTTTTATTATTAATTATAGGTTATACCTAGCTAACTAGGTTCTATTCCGGCTTTTATAGTAGGTATTAATCTAGTATAGGATTATTAGGAAAAAGGCTAAAAAAAGGGTTATATTGCTATTAATAAGGTTATATAGAGAAAAAAAAGGCTTTAGCCGTAAGCTATCTATTATAATAATACTATAAGTAGGGGTTTAAAGGCTTAAAAAAAGCGTTAATTAGATGCTAAGTATAGTATTATATAGAGAATTAAGATATTATATAAAGAATATATAGGTAATAGAACGTGTATATAGCGTAAAATCCGTATAATATTAGGTAATAAGGAAAAGGGGGTTTAGATAAGCTATTAGCGTAGTATAGCTTTATATAGTATAATACAGCGTTTTATATATTATAACCCGTAATATAAACCACTTAAGCGCAGCTGCACTTATAGAAATAAGTAGGTAAATTAAACTAATTATATAGAATTAGGTTACAGGACTAAAAAGGTTATATATTAGATAAATAGGAATCCTAGATTTCTTTATAGACTGCTAGTAAACGGGAATAATCTAAGAAATATTATAGGTATAGGCTTATATAATAGCTTAAGGAGCTTAAGGCTATAAGCTAAATAAGCAGCTTAAAAAGCTTAAGGCTATAAGCTAGATAAGCAGCTTAAAGGGCTTAAGGCAGTAAGTAGTTATTATAGTAACTACCTATAACACCTTACCTACTATAATTCGCCGATTACGTGTTTAGTCTAGCTCCTAGTCTAGGTTATAGTCTAGGTTATAGACTAAATTATATAGCGTCGTTACCTAATCTTATATAGAGCTCGCGAGCTTATACTATACACACGTTCCGCCGGCATATCTTCTTCGCCGGCGCTTTCGATTTCCTATTCCTTATACAACGTTTTAATTCCCTATATAGTAATATATTTAGCATTTAATTAAAGCTTTCTTCTAAGCTTTTAAACTCCTGCTTATAGCACTATTATAATAATATTATAGCAGCTTAAAGTAGTTTATAGTAGGTAAAGTATTATAGGTAGTTACTATAACACTATCTATATAGTAGGGCGCGCTATACCGGAAAAACCTTTAGCCCGGGATTATATAAGGTTTATACACGTGCTATTTCTTAACCTTAATAACTACTAAGAAAACCTAGCGAAACTATATAATAGAATACCTAGCTTTTTAGGTATCTAATTTAATAGTAAAAGCTGCGCTTTATAAACCTTTTATCCTAGTTAGAACTTAATTTTAAATTCCTACCCCTAGATAATAAAGCACCTAAAACGTATATAGTTAATTTAATCTTTACTAATATTATTTTAAGTTCCTACTTATAAATTTACTACTTTTTATACCCTTTTTTTATATCTACTATAGCTTAATAATATTTATTTATACTCTTAATATATTTTATAAAATTAAGCAGTTCTAATACACCCTACTTTTTTTCTATACAATACTATAGTTCTATAAAAAAGCGTAAAAACCTTTTAGCTACCTACTATTTTAACATCCGCTATATATTTTTAATTAGATTTAGGTTAAAAGAGTTAGCAGGCTAGCTTATCTTTTCTATACTATTAGTATTATAGAGCTGCTTAGTAAGCTTAGCAATATATAGAAAAGTCCTATCTTCTATTAGAATAGCATGCCTTAAATAATTCTTCGGGTGTTATACTACCTAGATTATAAAATAGTATAGCAGGAAACAACGTCTATTATTAACTTTAATTATAACTAGGGTAAAGTCTCCGTAGGACAGCCCTTTATTAGTAACGTTTATAGGTAGTAAACTAAGTTAGATAGATAGTATTATAGCAAGCGCAACCTAAACTCGATACTAAGGGTGCTTATATATATAGTTGTTGCGAGCTTAGAAAAAGTAGAAAATATCTTAAAGTAAAGATTGCGAGAAGGTAGGGTTTATATACTAATGCTCCTAAAAGACTAGCTCTAAAGCAAGTAGGTAATATAATAATATAACCTGTATAGCTATACTATATACTGGACTAGCTTAGTAGGAGTGGAAATTAGGCGATAGCGGGATATAGAGAAGGGTACTGGCGCCTTATCGCTTTATATAAGCGAAGATATTTAAGATACTTATACTTTAGGATATAAACTAGAATACTAGATATAGGGATAGGTTTGCAGTATACGGAAAGCTGGTTTAAAACGAATAGCCTATTAAGGTTTAGCACTTAACCTGTTTATATTTAGGACTTAACCTATTTAGGTATAGGGTTAAACTAGGCGCTGGTGGCGTTGCGAAGCAGCAGAATATAGGACACAGAATATTAAGCGATAAGACAAGATTAAAAGACTTTGCATACTATAAAGGCTCTCTACTTTCGAAAATAAATGCTATAAGATTCCCTAAAGTGCGAATAATAATTACCTAGTAAAGAACTGTAATGCGAACAGAGAGGATGTGGATAGGGCACCGGTTCCTTAAACTCTAATACCTTGCCTCTACCTAATCGCAACCCTAGGATGTTGTCTCTATTATGACGCGATATATAATAGCAATACTCGTCTCGTATCACAAATTGCTTATATTGTACTAATGCCTTTTTCTTTGAGCTCCCGAGGCAGAAAGGGCAGAGAGCTGGAATTATTGTCAGCCCAAGGTGTTTTCCGAAACCGCAAAATGTTCCTCTATCTTTTCTGAGCAGCAGCTGCTGCAGGTGCGCCGTGCAATAGCTTTCCCACCTCACGATTGCGACCCATCTACGGCATAGGATGCAAAAAAATTCGGATGAATGAGTCTGGGCGCATAACAAGAGAGACTCTGGGTGCTGGTAATTTTTCCTGGAATTTTTAGTTATCCTCCACAAGCCCGGGCAGTCGTCGCACTGGTTTTTGGGCCCCGCTCCTGGATAGTAATGCGGGCTCGGAGCTGAGGGGTGTGCTAGTATCTGCAGAGAGCGCAAGACTTTGTCTAATGATTTGGGGTCCCGGAAGCTCTCGATAAGGGCTCTTCGGGCATGGTCGTACTTCAGCATAACCTCAAAGTAATACGATGACCGTGGTTCGTGTTGATGGCGGTCCATGTTTGTAAAGTACGCTTCTCTCTTTCTTGTAAAATGATCCTTCTTTGCCTTTTTCACGAGGTCATTTCGCGCCCGCTTGGGATACTTTTCTTGCAACTGTTTGAGCTCTTGTTCCGGGACCAAATACGGTATATTATTGATGAGCGATCCTTCTGGCATTGGTGCATTGGTGTCCCTGCCGAAAGTAATACAACGGGCAAAGTCTATGTATTCTTGATCTTGATCCCTTCCCCGAACGACAGAGGGAAGATCTATGCCGATGGTAGTCGAGGAGTAATACTTCTGGTAGGTTAAATCGGAGCCGGCCTGGTGTCCTATCACTTGACGTCTTTTGGCAGTAGACACTTTGTCTTGGAAGAAGTTAGCATGAATGATAGCAGTTACGGTGGGTGTTGTACCGTCAAGGCTATTACCGCAATCTCTGCGGAAGGCATAGCTGGAAAGCTTGTCTTTGTAGCCGCAACGGTACCCAAGGTCGGCCAAGTATGTCCAAAGTGAATTCCCTGTCATGATTTTCTCAGAGATACTACCATCCGTGTTGACTCTGCGGCATACAGGTAGATCTGTCTTGTCGGGGTTGATATCGAAAGCATGGGAGTTTGCTGTTGGTGGGATGCGGATGGAATGGTAATCATTCAAGTCCTTAAAGACATCATCCGCGAGGGCTAATGCAATGAAATATACAACAGGGCAGGTATACCAGTCAGACGGATCTGTTTCTATACAGAGTGGAATAGAGTTCCTGTATATGGTTAAAGCAGCATTAGATAGCCTTGGGGATAGGGAGTTTTACGTAGGTTCCTTCCCTCGATGACCCTTCCTGTTCCGCAGGTGGACACGAATCGAGAATCTTAGAACTCCCCTGAAGCGATCGAGGTATAGGTCCACGTCCCCGTATTATATACCCTCAATCGACTATAACCAGCTCGTGGATTCAATGGCCTCGCCTGGACGGAATGCAGCATTTGAAATCATAATGGCGAGCCAATTCACCTGAACTCTCACTCGAGGATGTGTGTACTCATGTTCGTCCTGGCACCAGCTATATGTCACGATGTCCTCGGTGGCCTGGAACATAGCAACAGGTTTCGGTTTGGCCTTTATGATTGCTTCTCCACATCGGAAAAGGCTGTTGATACTCTGTCAAATATATGTGTTAGATAATAGAGGTTGGTAGATGAGGAGGGTCCGCCTATGCCTAGCACACATGTGACATCTGCTGGTGGGATCCGAAAGCCTGATTGCATAAGGATTAATTGCTTAACCAAGATGAAAAGTTTCTGCAGATACCGGACGGTAGGCCTGTCTCCGATGGTGCCGTTTGAGATCCGTGCAAGGTGAAGAAAGAAAAGCTCCAGTTGTTTGCAGGCTGGAGGCGCATGAAATTCCAGAAGGCTTTTTGGGAGATCATACATCGTCACAAAGCTAATGGATGGTGTAAGCAGTATGGATACAGATGACATTGTGCTGCACTTACTCGTCCCATTGTTTGTCAAGCCTTTTCTTGTTGGCGATGCGGTTTTTGCTCTCAACGATATAAGTAGTTGCCTCCCCACCATCGTCCTCAGTGGCTAGTTGCCTAGCTATGTTGTCGCAGTGGTTCATGGTTCAAAAAGAAGCCGAGGAGCGAGAGGCTCAGTGAGTAGGGTTGGGTGAGTAGGTAGTGAGGGTAAAGTGAAGGGGGCATTGAGGTGACCCTCAGCCCAGCAGCGGAGGGCCCGCATCCTGTTCGAACAGTCATTGCGACGTAGGTTCATTGATCCAGCTGACGTGGTCGTGGTAGGTGTGCAGTAGGTGGATTCGGGCTTCAGGTTCATGTTCTCGGGAGAGAGTGGCGGAGAGGTGGGGCGTATTGCCAAGGCTCGTGCCAATTATTACCTCCTAGGGCCCGCTTATCCAAAGGGCTTCCTCACATGCGAAGAGAATATGCCAACAACGCTTTCCCTGCGTGCTGGATGGGGTAGAGGGAGTGGAAATCCAGGCACCAGGAAAGCCCTTATGGAGGGGATTGAATTGTAAGGCTATATATATAAAAATATTCGGCAGCCATCCCAATATTCATTACAGAATCCTGTATTGAATGTGCTAAGGGCTTGTGGTTTAGTGGTATAATTTTCCCTTAGCATTGCATAGCACTGCGTACCGGCTGGGAAAGGTCCTGGGTTCGATTCCCAGCAAGTCCAATCGCGATTTCTTTTTGCATTTTGGGATGTCTTTTCGCTCGTACGTGGTACAAAGGGTGCCGCCGAGTGCATATTCCGGACCCCAACAGCTACGCGGGGCGAGGAACATCAAAACCACCAATTTTCGGTACCTTCGAAGAGCTGCACACAACAAGCTCAGAAGCTAAATACGCTTCCAAGTCGCTAGATGTATCTCTCTGTGCCTCTTGTTAATGATTCTCGCAGAAAGTACATTTATTGGCCCATGTTGGGTGGTGCGAAGCAAGCAAGGTTCGAGATTTGGGTGAGGTGCTTACGTAACCGGAATATGCTCTCGGCGGCACCCTTTGTATGCGATGAAAAAGAGGGGAATAGAGACGAATAGTACACGTGGCGGGAGGGCGTTGCGGAGTTGCGCGGGATCACGCACGCATCACCGAATTTTTGCGTAGCGAAGCGTTTCGCGTTCATCAATCCGGAGAGGGTTGAATATTGTCTATGGATTCCACGAACCATGACGTTAACCTATGATAAAGCCTACTCACTTCCCTCTGCCTCTAAACCCTCTCCTCATGCAATCTAAGCAGACCTTCGCTAACACTACGATAAAAAGTCCTCCCCATAGCCCCCCTGTGTCGACTTGCCCCTCTCCCTAACTTCCAACGCCGGTGCACTCGCGAGATAAACACGATCAAGCAAACCATCCGACATGAGCTCCAAGAACTCGTAATCTTACAATACCTCCTAAATCAAGAGAGATGCCGAACTAATGAAAATCAAAGTAGAAGAGTGTATGCGGCGATCGACACGATCCGGACTGCGGAAAAGCCGTCGGAGCAGTCTGAGAGCCGGGCGGCGTTGGGGGGTTTTGGCCACAAACGAGCTTTGTGCCGTGGGGGAAGAATAGGAGACCTAGCTAGGGACTTCGGGTAGATGCCGGAGGACCGATGCGTTGGCGGAGTGACTTAGATGAAGCTGCATTCTCGATTGTCATTGCGACTGCGGCTGATAGGTTGGAGCGCAGATTTCCGGTGAATGATGAGGAGAGCTATCGCGACGGGGTGGGGATGAATTCACTGAGGCTAAGAGTTCGCGAGGTGAGGAGACTGGCTGATAGCGAGAGATATTGGCAGTGTGGTAGGAGAAGTGCGTCGGTTTGAAAGACAGAGAATAGGCCCATAAATGAAAGAACCGGGCATCTCGATAATCAAGCGTGGTTCTAGTGTGCAGGAGAGTTCTTTTTTGCTGATCGGGTCTTATTTCTAGCCTCTCAAGTGTTGGGTAGGGGTATCAAGACACAGGACGAGCGTTGAGAGGGATGCACAAAGCGGGGTTGGGCACCGTCCACCCGTCGTACACTTTCAGGTCTGTGTAAACATGCATTTACTTGCAAATGTGGCATTGTCTCTTCCTCGATCGCTAATTCAGCCCAATGCCCAGGTCATGACGGATTTTACTACTTCTTGTACGTTGTCTTGCCAAGACAGCGGATTCTCTACAACCGGTAGCGTTGTTGGTATCCATATCTTTGCCTACGCCGTTCTTCTCGGGGTCATTTTCAGTGTCTCCTCCTATCTCAACGCAAGAACATGGACGTTATTACAAAGCATCTCAGGCATTTCTATCATGAATATGCTTTGCTCGTAGGCCATTATTTTGGAGGGATGCGCCTCTCCTTGGAACGAAGCGTGGAAAATAGGATGAGGGAGGTCTGGACTGAGGAGGAGATGGAACTGTTCGACAAAGCGAAGGCGCTTTTGAAAAAATCTGAAAGCTAAGAAGGCTGTCTCTCGAAACTACGTTTTGTGGTGTTTGGGAAAAATATGCAAGCGACTTCGAACAAGCTGCTAGACATGATAGAAAAACGAAAGGCGGTCGTAAAGGATATACTCTCCGAGTAAGTCCATGAAGTTGTATCATCACTTTTAGATGATAACTGGTACACTGCTTATGAATGTGGAGTATAGCCTCGCTAAGGAACACAAGTAAAAATTCCGGAAGTTGCGAAGAGACCTAGCAGAGCTACGGGGGAATTGACGGAGCTCAAGAACTCGCGAAATGCAGATAGCAGACTGTAGCGTCAAATGCCGGTCTTGCTGAATCGCCCGCAGGATGTATCAACAAGAGGTCATTTTGATGGAAGAAACTTGCAAGCCCCACAAGTGGTTCTCGGAGTTTTCTACATGTGCTCCGCAAAGCTCTGTCTTGAAAATGTCAATCCTAGGCGTCTGCATCAGCCATCAGCTGCCAACGTGGTCACCAGGAACGCTTGTGCAGGAGCCGATGGTTTCAGTGCTTGAGGTCAAAGGTCTAGTAAATGCAGGGTCCAAGTCCGTCGCAAACTAGAGGCCCAATCTTGAATCTTATTTGAAGCTATATTTGAAGATCCTGATAAGCTTCAGCTAGTTTTTACGATACTCCGAGGAGCTCAATTGGGCTTTGTGGGTCAAAAATGGAATGCTCTCTCATGGTCTGCGGAAGCCTCGTGTCCTGTCCTCTGGTTATGCGAGATTGCGCGTTGCTGTAATAGCTGTGAAGGATTGAGATCAACCGAAATCGCTATGAAAGTGAACTTCCTGTTTGTTACGAAGGACTGAGTGCAGCAGATGGCTCTTATTGAAGATGTCGTGCTCAGCACAACGTTGCCGTGCAACCGCTCTCCTTTTTCTCCGTTGCGAATTCAAGCTTTGAAACCCACATGTGCGTTGTGGCGTCTGCAAGAAAGCGTATAATTAGCTTCATCCCTGGATCCGGCGCTGCTTGGCAAATAGCAATCTTAATCTGCCGTTCTTCTTGGCGGGACGGGCCCGAGGGGAGCTGAGGCAAAGGGCACAAAGTTCAGAGCCATACACGAGCAGATATGGGAGTTTTCATCCTCTTATACGCAGTATACGAAAGCTGAGATATAGCCTGGAACAACGTGACCCCGGTATGTGCGCCTGGGTGACGGGCCCAGCAGAGGCCGGCACCTAGCGGGTCGGGGCACCCCTCCGATTGCTTATTTTGACCTCCAATAAGGCCCCGTCTCGTTTTATGCATGCATCCAAGGCTGACAGTGCACGGTGTGCCGCTGGACCATTCGGATAAAGCGGGGCGAATGATATTGGAGCTGTGAAGGTCGAGCTGGGATGGCCAGCCGATATGAGAACAACTCATCAGCACCCTGCCGTGTGTCATCGTCCTGCTCAGCACCCTCTCACCGGCAGCCTGCCGACTCTTCCGTCCAGCAGTCAGGTGGGCGAAGGCATCAGCAGGATCGGTGTGGAGGTCGTGCTCGCGACATCCAGGCTGCCAAGGAGGGAAACGGAGAGTGCAGGTCGGCAACCTCCACGCTTCACCAAGAAATGAACGGCGCCGAGAACGCCCAAAGCACTCGGGATCGTGCCCATCTTCCAGTCAGGGCAGCCGATTTCAGCCCGCCAAGCAGAACTGGCGGCCGCCTTGCCGCCTGCGCTCTCTCGCTTTCCCCCTTCACACGACCCACGACTCGTATCCCGCAATCTCTGCAGCCGGGGTCGGTCGCGCAGCCACACCTCACGGCGTCGAACAACACCACCTGGGTCGACCGGCAGCACGAGCAACGGGCGGCCGCGGGACACAGCCTGCGGTGCGTGGTTGGGCGCCGCCATATGCTGCCGTCCTGCAGTGCAGAAAGGGGCCCGTGACCCCATGTCTTGCGCGCAGGTCACAGAAAAGGCTGCAACCCCTGGACCTCCGGTGCTGTCGACTCACCAACAGCCTCGCCGGGCGCCGCGGCTAGGCTGGATCCAGGGCCGATAGCAGGGGCGGGGCCATGTTATGGGTCTCGAAGCTGTGATGGGCTGCGCGGGGCGTGCATGGCGGAGCGAGATTGGATTGGGAAGCGCGAGATGATACGAAGGGCTGAGGCTTGGGACCATGGCGTTTTGCTGGTGGGAGCCAGCGCGCAGGGGGTGCCAACGAAGAATGCTAGGGGCTTATATAGCTATCGGGTGATGCTCCTCCCAGCCTTTCCCTTCGCTCTATCCTCGACAGCTACCATTCGATCTTCAGCCTTTTAATCCGCAACCTATTCTAATATCTATCCACTCCTTCTCTTCAAGGTATGACATCTTGATAACCGCAGCTGAGGCTATCTGCTCGTCGCTGTAGCTGTCAGAATCTTGCTGCCTGATCTCATCTGACACCTTCCAGCTCTCAACTCTACGAAATGGCTGTCACCAAGGACGACATTCTCCAGCACGAGGATGCTGCCAAGCACTCCGGCACCGCTGCTGAGACTTTCGCAAAGAAGGCCGGCCTCGGCGCCTTCAGCAAGCAGATCGGCGAGTTCGTGAAGAAGCTTGTCGGCAAGAAGCAGAAGGCTGCCCTCGACGCCAAGGCCAAGAAGGAGGGCGTCACCCCCGAGGCTGAGGCCGCCGCCGCTGGTGCTCCTGCCCCGGCTGCTGCCCCCGCCCCGGCTCCGGCTGCTGCTGCTTAGAGGATGGTGTGAGGAGGGTGTGGTGCTGGTTAGTTGCTACCCAAGCATGACTCTTCGAGTAATCTTCTAACAGTGCATCAGATAACGATCTGTTCTGAAATCGAAAGCCATGTCTCCAGGCCCGCCATGTGTATTCGTCAGATACAATCGCTCGGTATCAGCAGAAGTAATGGAAGCGAGGAAGGAGAACACGCGAGGGAGTCTTTGATACCATAATACCCAACTCGTTTTTGCGCAGGAGAATATACAAGATCCATGGATCGTTGTTCTGGAGAATTTTTTCTGGAGAATTTGCTTTCCTTGACGTGCTTTTACTCGTGACTAACACCATCGCTTCGTGCCCTCAGGGTCCGCTTCGCTTCGTTCGTGCCCTTGCTTCCCGCGAAGGATGCCGATCGTGGGTCCGCCCAGGATGATATTGGATGCTCGGACCACCATGCTTTATTGATTTTCACCGATGCACGCGACGCGTGCTGCCTTGACTCGGCTCCATTCCGGCCCTTTGTCTCGGGTTTCTGAGTGTTTGAGGAAAGATCTCGAACTGAAGTTTTCTAGAGGAGGACAGCATGCGGAACTAACCCATCAATAATAGAAGATTTTCTAGCTGGTGGTCCTGTTGGAAGTTGTATGTTGTCGAGTGTCAACGGATCGTTCCTCGCTGACACGGCATGCTGATGATGCTAGCCTAGACCTCTTTCCGATACGTATGACCATTACAGCTTTGAAAAAGCAGTCTCATTCATTGAAAAGTGCTCGTTCTCTTTGACTGATTATTTTTCTTAGAGATCTTCGTCACCAAATTCACCCAGCAGATGAAATAGACTCCATTCGGGGTCGCGCCCTCGCACGTTTGCACCAACACTTCCTCCACCACCCAGACCATTATCGTTCAGGGTTGGCTGGTTGAAATCATCGTTCGTCGTCCGAGGATTTTTTAAACCACAGACGCTATCATAAGATCATTCAACTACTCGATCTATCCACCTCCCACCAACTTCTATACCATAGCTCCTCCGTCTTGCTGCTTTGCTCACAGCTGTGTTCACGAGCTTGATATTTTTTCTCGTCAGTCTTGTTGCTCTTTTATATCGGTGGACAGGACCGGTCATGTGTGTCCCACGCCATTATCCCGTGAGAGTCATGTGACCTTCTCAGCATACGGCTCTGAATGTTCATCAAAGGTGTATAAACTTCCTACTTGTAAATTCTCGCCTCCGAAATATGTCTAATCGAACGCGTATGTCCCCCATAGTCGCCCTTAGTTGCATTTCCAACCCTCTCAATCAGACAGACGTCCACCATATTAAACGATGTAGAAACCCCTTGGGCCCCCTCAAATAACGGCATCTACGAACGATACTGACATCTTCTCTCGCTAACCAGGGGATATCATGAAGCGACTACTTCTTTGTCAAGTTGATCGTCAGTCCGTATACTGCCTAGTGCTTACCATCGCAAGAATAGCCCGAGCGACCGACACACTATGTAAGGTCTCTGGGCGCCCATCTCTCGTCTTAACTTGTTTACCATTACGTCCTTTCACGAAACATTCAACTCAAAATAATGCGCACTATCTAAATACTGTATATACACTACGAGGTCGGGGGTTTTGTATTTCTCGTATCTCTTCTCATTCTTGTATCTCCGCGTCTTCTATCTATTCATACTCATTTCTCAACCATGTCCTCCCCTCGCTCGCGGGCCCCCTCCTCAACCAAAATTGCCGTGATAGGCGGCGGACCGCAAGGCCTATGTGCGCTCAAAAACCTCCTCGAAGAAGGCTTCGACGCCATGCTCCTCGAACAACGCGACCGCATCGGCGGTCTATGGGCTTACTCCGACGATCCCAACACCGTCACAGTCCTGGAAAGTACTTTGACAAACGTCAGTAAATATAAGAACTGCTACAGCGACTTCCCAATCGGGAAAGATGAGCCCGTGTACTTCACCCAAGCCCAATTCCTAGATTACCTAGAGCGCTATGCTGATGCATTCAACTTCCGTCCACGGATCCGATTAAACACGTCCGTCCTGAGAATCTCAAAATCAACCAGCAACGCGGACGGCTGGGACATCAAAGCCGAAACCAAACACGCTTCTTCGCCGCACACCCTCCAGTTCGACAAAGTCGTTCTAGCTACTGGCGCACATCACACCCCCTCCGCTCCCACCCTTCCAGGCGCCTCCATCTTCGCCGGCCAGATCCTCCACTCCAGCGCCTTTAAGCACCCACCTTCCTTCGCCGGCAAGCGCGTCCTCGTCATCGGCTTCAGCAACACAGCCGCCGACATCTGCGCCGAGCTCGTCGCGCACCACGCCGCCTCCGTCACCGTCGCCCACCGCCGCGGCATCCACGTCCTGCCGCGCCTTGTGAATGGCAAGCCCGTCGACCTCTTCGCCTCGCGCCGCGTCGCTGCCATCAGCGCCACGGTGGCCGCTATCGCGCCGGTGAAGTCGCTCGGGCTCGTCGAGAAAGCGCTTGCGGATCTGAGCGAGAAGAGTTGGGACCTGGATCCAGCTTGGGGGTTTCGGCCCGCGCCGCCGCGGATTACGAATCGGGTTATGCTGTCGGACACTTTTGTGCCGCAGCTGCGCGACGGCTCTATCAAATCTGTCGCGAATGTTAAGCAGATCGTGAATGGGGAGACGGTAGAGTTGGAGGACGGATCGCGCGTTGCTACTGATGTGATTATTTTTTGTACGGGGTATCACCGACGGGATCCGCCGTTTCTTGCTGAGATTCTTGGGGGTGAGAAGGAGAGGTTGATACCGCATCGGCTGTATCAGAATATCTTCCCGCCTGCATATGCGGATTCTGTGGCTGTGCTGGATAGCTGGCAGCTTGGGAGCGGGATTTGTGAGGTTGCGGATCTGGCGTGTATGGCTGTTGCGCAGGTTTTTAAGGGGGCGTTTCCGCTACCCTCGGAAGATCGGATGAATAGGGAAGTTGATGCGCATCACCGCTGGGTGAATACGGTGCTCAGTAGAGAGCCGGCGGCGGCGGCGAAGGTGGTGCAGGAGGGGAAATGGAGAGGGTGGTTGCATGCAGCGGCGGGGACGGGGGTGAACGAAAATTTAGGGTATGGTTGGAAGGGGTGGTGGTTTTGGGTATGGCAGCCGAGGTGGTGTAGTCTGTTGATGGGAGGGATCGACTTACCGTATCTAGCACGGCTGTTTGAGGGGAGGAGGAAGAAGTGGGAGGGGGCGGGGAGGGCAATCGTAGAGGCGAACGAGGATTTGGAGATGAGGTTTGGAAAGGGGACAGATAGGAAGAAGGTAAAGTGAGCATACACCTTTCCTAGACCGTTCTACATCTTCTTACTACTATTTGCGGTTCTTCAACACATCAAGTGGGTTGAAGTCCAGGGTAATGTGCTACAAGTCCAAGGTGTATTTGCAGAGTCATCACGGGACCACTAATTATGTAGCATACTGGAAGGTGAGCTCAACGAGTATTGTAAGTGAAGCCCCGCCAGCATTCGCATTTCCCATAAAGACGGCTCCTCCACCGAATGAGATAGCACTCCTCTCATTTTGCGTCATCTCCAGTGCATCCTCGTCCGGCTGGTTCCCTGAGCGGGATCGCAGAGTTTATAGAAAAATATGCGAAAGACATACAAGCCACTCTTCCGCCAAACTATCCTCAAATGCAAAGAGTCTTCCGGGAATGCGCCTCAATTCTATCCGACCTACGCCGACTTGTAGTCTTGATTGAAAAGGATAGTGGTGGAAATGATGCAAATGCGACTAGGCTTCCTATCGGCTCGCTCAATGAAGATGGAAAAGACGTAAGGTCCAGGCTGATCAGTCTTCAATTCGATCTCACTCATATTCGCAAAAAGAAAAGGCGAAGGATACCGATGCGATCAAGAAAGCCGTCACTGAGGTCATGAATAGTCCAGTAGATGCAGACGACGCTTCATCTATTCGGACCTTCTACACGACATCGTCGATTCCCCACGTGGAAAGTCAAATATAGCGAGAGCTAGAGAGAGCTCTACGTGCATGTTTCTCAACGAGACAATTATGCCTTGATCGTGAGCACAGTTGAAGAAACCGTTTGGGAAAAAACCACGCCTGGATTGATAGACACTGCCACACCCGTTCCAACTGTCAATACAGCATCTGCACTGACAAACACCACGATTCCTCCTTCGAACGAATCAAACAGATCAAGCACGGTGGTAGAAGACAATACCCATGGCACACAAGCCACTACCTTTAGAGCTATCAACGAAGATTTATTCAGCAAGCATGAGCTTTACTGGGCCGATAAGACGGGGCGTACCTGGGCAAGCCGTGTTGAACGATAGTGAAGGCGAACGCTTGCTTACATTTGGTTCGTCTCTCAACCCCCACATCAAGACGTACTACTGACATGAACATAAGATGGAGGAGTGAGGTCCTACTCGAGCGTGCTTCTCATGCTGGAGCTCATGAACAAGATCGCACGATACGAGAACGTGTTCGAAAACGAATTCACATCCTACCCTAGAAATTTTAACGCCGCAAATCTTCATCCATGTCACTACTTTGACAAGACGTATGGCACATCGACTGGGGGGTGAGTGCGTCGAGCTTTTGGAGCCTCTGGTAGTATTTAGCGTAAGTTCTACAGCGTCGCGAAAACCTGTGGTAAACACTTCAGTGGGCTTGGCGTCCCTTATAACCACAATGGTGCCTCACTGGAGTTGACGAATTTTCCATCAGATCGTAAGCTAATAGCTATCCTAATAGCTATCTCTAGAATATCAACCATAGCCCTTAGTCGCCTCCGAATGGCCGTTCCCGAGACGGTTGACGCTTTTCGCCAGCTGTTGACCGAAATGTACACGAATACTCGAAGTGCAATTCCTCTAGCTACAAAGTACCACCATAAGCCCTTCGAGCGTGCTCTCCGTCAAATGATTCAAACGTACTGCAAACAGCACCAACCCGGTCTTTGCTATCGCGAAGAGAAATTCCCATGGGGGTCAGCGGAGGAGCACGATACAGACTCACTTTGCCAAACGTAAGTGCATCAGCATACCTCCATCAACAGACATCAGTCATATCGTAGGAAATCAGAAGATCTCTGGAGGTCCTTTGTTTCCTGAACGTGGTTTAGATCGCTCATTTTGAGTACAATACTGACTACATGTAGATTATGTCTGACTGCTCGGTCCAACGACGGAGCGGCCACCGGCATAGACGACGAGGCGTATCTTCTCCGTACATATGATCATAGATACAGTCTAGAAACGCCTAATTTTGTAACACTATACAATGACGGGGGTCGATGATGTGGCCATCAGGCAAGCTGCTCGAGCAACGACTGCTGCACCCTTTTACTTCAAGACGCTTCAAGCGTTTGTTGGCGATCCGCCAGTCCTCACTGCATTCAAAGATGCAGAGTTGTCAACAATCAACGCGCTTGCAAGCGTTGATTGATCGACTTGATTATGTAACAAATCAATCAAATACGTCTTCTCGACGTCTTTTAGCAAGCAATTCAAGTGCTAATAGGGAAACTTGATTGATTTGATTGATCGAGTTAGTATTTTTAGGCGATTTTCGTGAGGTTCTTGAGCTGGCTGGAGGGGCAGTCTCGCGATAGTGTTCTGGTGTTGAGTTGCGTTAGTAAGCAGCCAAAACGCGCCACAGTGGCGCTACCTAAACTTACTTTCGCGTGTTTTTCCGAGCTCTATACGCATCTACACTTCCTGCTTGCCAGCAACGTGCGTCTAAGGGCCTGGCTAGAAGCCTTATTGTCAGGTCCCCTTCTTGATCCACTACTGCCCTAACAGCGCTTTTTTTCGTTAATATGCCACCTACCCGAGGCACTAAACGCGTCGCCGAAGCCCCCCCTAATGGCTCCCAAAAGCGCAGCGCTTGCAGTACTACCAAGCAGCCTATCGCGCCCGAGGAGTCGCAACAGTTGTCCCTGCGCCAATCGCCGCGCAAAGCCCTAGCGATTGCCGTATCCCAGGCCACCGAGGAGCGCCCATTTAAGTCCCAGCTGCGCGACCTTATGCCTGAGGAGGCTGTTGTCCCGCCCATTAAGGGCTTAAAAGCTGCCACCGAGGCCACTACCGACAACGACAACAGCGCTAATATAGGAGGCTTTAACGCGCGCTTTGCGGACAACTTTAAGGGCATTAATTAGGACCGCCTGCCAGGTTTTATCGCGCTTTTACGCACGTAAAGGCATAAAAAGAGCTGGATTTATTGCTACGGCTACCGTATTGCGCTAGCAAGCAACCTAGAGCAGATCTAGTTTATTTATAAATACTGTTATTAGTATAAAATAATTAATACTGGCAGCAAGGGTAAGTATAAAATAATGCTATTAATAATAACCGCGGGCAATTACTTATAGAAGCCGATTAAAGGTTATAGGCTATTAAAAAATAGTAAGCTAAGGAAAGTTTTACTGCTAAAGGGCTAAAAAATACTTAAAAATCTTACTAATAAAAGTATTATTATAGCCTAAAAAATTGCTAATAAGCTTAGAAACTTTAGGGCGCTGCTAAATGTACACCCTATATTTACTCGGTGTACACCCCTTTTCTACTCCGTATACACCCTTCTTACGTCTGATCTTCTGATTGGTCCGGAGGGCTCGGAGGAAGCTCCGGCGCTTAATTCTCACGCGCATCTATATGAAATGGGAAGGCTGTACAGCCTCACTATTTCATTGTGCATTCTTACCGTTTCCGTGAGGCTATATATATAGGCCAGCTACACGTAAGGCCTCACGTGAGGCCGTACGTGAGGCCGTACGTGAGGCCGTACGTGAGGCCGTACGTGAGGCTACTTATGGCAAGGCTGTGCAGCATACCCGTTTTACTATGCATACTTC